ATTTTTTTCTTTAATTTTTGTTTGAATAATGCGCAGGTTAGTGTATACTCCATCAGCTGTTTTAGTGTCTATCAGCTTTGTGTTCTTGTTTGTCTCCATCTTGTGTCTGAATAATGCGCAGGTTAGTGTATACTCCATCAGCTGTTTTAGTGTCTGTCAGCTTTGTGTTTTTGACTGTTTGTCTCCATCTTGTGTCTGAATAATGCGCAGGTTAGTGTATACTCCATCAGCTGTTTTAGTGTCTGTCAGCTTTGTGTTTTTGACTGTTTGTCTCCATCTTGTGTCTGAATAATGCGCAGGTTAGTGTATACTCCATCAGCTGTTTTAGTGTCTGTCAGCTTTGTGTTTAAATAAAGAATTAAAAAGAAAAACGATTAAAGCTCTAAAAAAAGGCTATTTTATGGAAAGTACATCCAGTCGGGTGTTTTCGCAGGATTTACTCTTTAGTCTTATACAACAGTGCTACACTTTGCGTCAGGCGGCTGATAATCTTGTCGCTGTGAAATAAGATTATTTCACTTACCTAATTGGCAGATTATTTTGCTTGTTTTAACGAAGAACTCAAATTGTTTGATATTGGGACTCGAAACTGTAAGTAAGAAAAGCATTGCTTACAGTGCAGTCGAGGCATCAATAATGTAATGTCATTTCAGCAGAAACACCTATACGAACAAAACATGTGTTGTGATTATCTGAAAGCTCCTGCGTGTACACTACTCTCACATGTGTTTTTCTCATTCATCACATGCTGTAGCACATCATAAAATTTCATCGAGCATCAAAGGCCAACAAGAAGCCCATGCAGCTGCCCAGGGGGATGGTGAAGTCTCTGCTCTACCAGATCCTAGACGGCATCCATTACCTGCACGCCAACTGGGTGCTGCACAGAGACCTGGTGAGTACAAAACATCAAGCCTTTCATTCAACTCTTTAATGTTCTTCTCATACTGGGATATTACAAGGGGCCAGGGCTCTCATAAACGTGGCACAAGCACAAACGGAAATGCGCGTACGCTGCTTCCCATGCAAAAGCTACATGATGAGAGAATTTAGTAAGTTAACATTTTAACTTAAACATTGACTGAATTGAACCACTTTAAGGCCCAATCCTGATTCTATTTTTGTACCCCAACCCCTTCCCCTTGGCCCTTGAAACAGAGTGTGAAGGGGAAGGGCTTCAAAATTTTTCCCTAAGGATTGGGACAGCACTTCAGCTAGGCTTGGGCGGTAAAAAAAATATGACGTAAGGCTCAGACAGCGTCACCAAACTGTTGGCTTGTGCCTAAACCAATCAGAATCTGAATACCGTATATGCGACCTTAGATTCGCGGTCACCTGTTTGTCTTGTTCGTATTCGTCTGTGCCGGACGCTCCTACGTACGCACGCACACACACACACACACACACAGAGAGACAGCATTAAGCGACGCATAGCACAACGCTCTCTCTCGATCTCACACACACATAAAGAGAGAGCACAAAACGACGCACAGCTCTACGTTCTCTCTCTCTCTTTCTCTCACACACACACGCATAGAGAGAGAGGACCAAGCTACACGCAGCACGATGCTCTCTCTTATTGTCACACACACACACACACATAAACAGCATCCATGCGGATGCACCCGCTCCCTTTCAAATTACACCAGAGTTATCGACTGCTCCCGCGATTTATTCGAAAATATATTCCCGCACCGCAAGAAATCTGGTCGGCTCCTGCGGTACAGCAGTGGGAATGCAGACCTCTAGTTTGTATTTACCACGTCTCCCTTCTCGTTCGGTCGAAACCGAAAATACTGCCAAACTGCAGGTCACTTGGTGCGCGACTCGCCACCTCACCTCTCCCTCCCTCTCTATCTCGTCTACACTGTCTTGTGACGACAATCACGCATACATATTTGTAGGCATTAAATAAGGGATATTTAACATTTTATACTAGTCTCCTATATAAGTGCATTGTTATTATGACGGTATAACGATATTGAAACTGACACGGTTGCTATTTTTAGATCCCGCAGTATACCATTTTACAGTATTACCGCCCAAGCCTAACTACAGCACCTTCACACGTCATAATATGTCATAATCTCTCTGTCCTTGTGATGAAAAGGCTTTGTCATTGATTTGCTCGTGTCTGCATCTGTTTAAAGGATTTGAATCATTGGCCACATTTTCCTGCCATGTATTCAAATGAACATCAGAAACTATTTTACAGTCAAAGTAAGGGGAAAAGCTTTTTCTAGTGCTGTAGTGACGAAAACATGAGCAGAAGAGATTTATATTGTTGTGTTTATATCAGTGAATCCTAACCAAACTATAATACTCAGCTGATGTTAGTCTTCAGATCTAATAGTCTAAAATGGCTGAGATTTAAACAGTAAATAAATGTAGAAATGCTACAGAAAACTCTGCAGCCTGGTTAGCAGTCCCCTTCTTTAACACATACAGCGAATAACCGTATATTGACATTGGATTGAATGCAATGGAAAATGTCACACTCTCCATTGTTATGTAATCCCATCAATTCCTGCATGTGTGTGTGTGTGGGTCAATAGCGTACTCATTGTTATTAACCCAGTTGTACGCTGGAGAAATAGACTTTGTTAGACGGCTCCACTATTGACTTTGAGTCAACATGAATTATAAATGGGACTCAACAGCAGGACATTCAATGCTTTTGTGTGTTTGAGGCACATTTTGCTTGTCAGGTGACCTGCACCGAGCAGGTGGAGAGTGTGCAAGATGACTTCAGCAAGTAAAAGCAGCACATGAAATAGGGAAATGAAATAAAAGGCCACAACTGCAATAAAAGCAACTTCAAAACACAGAGAAGCATTCGCAGAAGATAAACAGCCACAATAACAGAGAACACACTTATTTCTTGATCATCTTTGTGGTTAAGTGTTTTATGTACTGATTCCATTCATATTTAGTGTTTTCTCTGAACAATGTTTACTTTCGGCAGCACGTAAACTCATTGGCTCTCGGTATGAATATCATTATAAATGTTACCTAATCATCATCCTCAAGAAGGGAACACCCACAGCGGTTTCAGTCACCACCCAGGGATGCGTTTCCCAAACAACAACGTATCTCGCAGCTGAACTATCATAGTACGATGCATCATTTGGGAAAAGAACCCGTAGTTTCTCGTAGTTTCTCTTAGTTTTTCCTGTAGTTAGGATATTGTTTATTTATTATTATTATTATTATTATTATTAATAAGTAGGATATTGTTTATTTCTTCTTCTTATTTTTTATTATTATTAAGTAGGATATTGTTTATTTCTTCTTATTATTTTTTATTATTATTAAGTAGGATATTGTTTATTTCTTCTTATTATTTTTTATTATTATTAAGTAGGATATTGTTTATTTATTATTAATATTTTTATTATTATTAAGTAGGATATTGTTTATTTATTATTATTATTATTATGAAGTAGTATATTGGTAATTATTATTATCAGAACCAGCGACCTTCTTGCTGTGAGCAGTACCTACTGCGCCGCCGTGTTGCCTCAGATTAAAAGGTTACAAAAATGATTACTTTCTACAAAAATATAAAAACCACCGCCTCCATGCCTTCATCTCGAGGGGCTTTTTTCAGTTTATGCATGACAATTTGCTTTTGTATAATGTTATTATTGTTAGCAGTATTACTGTTTATATGCATATTTATATTTATTTTATTAAAAGCAAGCAGATTTGCCCACCTGTCAGGTTTTGGACCATATGGGGCATAAGAACAGGACGTGTCTTTGTATAAAACTCAGGTTTTTGAGAACACTTTGTTATTATTGTTCATTTATTCGTTTGCTGGAAATAAGAACTGAATTTATAAATAGTTCTGAAACAAATCTTTGGTCTTCACAAACGAAATTTTGTAGGCTAATGAATGGCACAACACCGTTTTCTTATTCAAGAAAGAAAGAAATAGAAATTTAAGAGGCCGATTGGAGGAGGCTCGTTCTTTATCCTCGCGCTGCAGATGCTTTGTTTAACTGTTTTCTCGCTAGCGAAGCATCCAGTTTTTCCACTTACACAGTCGGCCATGTAAATAGCTAATGCACCATGGTGCGACGCAACTGACTCTTAAAGGGAATGGAAAAAGTAGACTTTGATTGGTTTATGCTCAAAACACACCTATAACTCATTAAGAGATTGAGCACAACCCTGTTAGACCATGCACCGCGGCACAGAGTGTATTTTTCGTCCTTAAAATAGCGAAAAAGTGAATGCGGACACGCTCTTAATGCTTTTGCCCCCTGAGCTTTAGACTTTGCACTTAGATCGTTAAAATACAGCCCAACGTGTTTTATGTACTGTTTTCATTGATATGTGGTGTTTTCTCTGAATGATGTTTACTTTCAGCGGCATGTAAACTCATTCGCATAAATGTTCAATTCAATTCAATTCAGCTTTATTTGTATAGCGCTTTTACAATGTAGATTGTGTCAAAGCAGCTTCACATAAATGGTCATAGTAACTGGAACAGTTTAGTTCAGTTTTTTAGTGTTTAAGTTCAGTTCAGTTCAGTTTAGTTTAGTTTAGCTCAGTTCAGTGCGATTTAAACATTACTGAGAGTTCAGACACTGAAGAGCAAATTCATCGATGCGTAGCTCTACCAATCCTGAACCATGCGAGGCAGTGGCGACAGCGGAGAGGGAAAAAACTTCACCTGATGGGAGTGAAGAAAATAACCTTGAGAGAACCAGACTCAGTTGGACACAACCATTTTAATTTCCCCGCTGGCCAAAAGTCTTGTGCAGAGCTTCAGTCACCGCGGTGGAGGCTGGAAGATGGCCTCAGCGAAGACTCGTCTGTCCCTGAAACGTTGCTGGAATCAGACACATGTTCTCCACTCCCCACGACCATCAGCGCAGCAGCAGCTTAGGATATGGCCTGGTCCAGGATATGGAATGCTTAGGATCATCTCGTCGCTGGTCTTGGATCCAATCAGTGACTCCGCATTATCTGAGGACCTCGGGATGAGTATCCTCAGGTGAAAATAGAGAATAAAGAGAATAATTAGAGTAGCTGCTGTTCATAGTGTATATAAGCAAGATGTAGAAGCCTGTGTGGAACCCACTAGGTGATGCATTGAGTGTATGCTTTACACATGTAACATACGCATCCTTGAGGAGGGAACACCCACATCAGTTTCAGTCGCCACCCAGAGCGGCAGGCAGCTACAGTCGCTGCTAGTGCCAATGAGGCCAAATGAACACCCATTTTAAGTACTGTTATTATCATTTTTTACTTTAAGCAGAAAAGCTGTTTGTGCAATTGGTGGAAACTTACGCAAGACTAATTATACACAAAAATCCCAAAATGTCATCTGTCACGATTTATTCACATTCTTGTCATTCCAAACATATATATATATATATATATACAGTTAAAGTCAGAATTATTAGCCCCCTTTAAATGAAGTTTCATAAACTAATTTCGAGAGGAGCACGTGATATGATTGACTGCAGCCGGCCACTCATCTAAGCTCATTAGCTAGCCAATCGGAACAATCCAAACCCACTATAAATAACCTAGCTAAAATGTACACCCCTATCTTCGTTTTTCGAAGA